CCTTGATTATTAATTTTAAAATCAATTATTATTTATATTATTTTCAATTAATAATTTAAATACAATAAAAATAACTGAACCAAATTTCAAAATCAATCATCATCAGTAAAAATGTTCTCAAATCAAACTGATATAATCATTTCGATTTGACCATTTATTTAATTTATTTTATTTGGTTTACAATATTAACAATTAAATTCTAAATCGGAAGAGCATTATAAAATAACGACTCACGATAATCTAATTTACACCGAAATTAAAGAAAAATACTTATTAATTCCTATTTCCATTTATGTTTTTTATAAAAAAACTTTTGAAAGTGAAACTATTTCAAAAAAAATCAAACAATTACCTTTTTTAAAAGAAAAAGATAAAATCATCTTTATCTTTTATTCGCAAAATAATTCATACTACTATTACAATATTGATGACGATAAAACTAAAAATTTTACAAAAGAATATAAGATGGTTGAACATTATATTCAAAAATATATGAATGATTTTTTCAAAAAGACAGAAGAAAAAAAAATTGAAATTAATCTTGGAAATAAATTTACAATTCAAGATTTTATCAAATCTTATCGATCCCGAGAATTGAAAACCAAGACAACTAGTAACACCATCACTAAAAAAATAATTATTAATGATATTGAAATGTACAATCATAAAAAAAGAAGTATAGAAAAAATTTCAAACCAAATTTATTAACAAATATAAAGACAAAGACAAATCTATCTCTGTAAAAACAAGTAGTGGACGTGAAATTAATTTATTAAACACCTTGGTAATTTCAAGTGACGATTCTGATTCTGACATTGAGAAAATTGAAGATTTAAAACCTAAAAACACATTAAAAAAGGTCAAAAAAGGAAAAATACAAAAAAAAGAAAAAGAAATAGATATGATTTTAAGAAAAATAGCGATGATGAATATCACATTGTATCTGATAATTCTAACAACATCGAATACGAAGTTTATGAAAATGAATTTGAATTATTAAAAAGGGAATCTGAAAATTTTATTAACAATTGGAATCGTAAAGAAAATAAAAACAAAATTTTTAACAATAAGAAACCAAAAATTGATGAAAATATTGATAACAATATTGATGAAAGTATTGATGATATGAGATATAAATATAATGAAACTAATTTTGAAGATTTTGAATTATTACTTAAACAAGAAAATTTTTCAACATTATATGATTTAAAAAATTTTTTAACAAAAAATATAAACAATATTAAAAGTTTAAAAATTAATATCGAAAATGGTAAGTTTAAGAAAATTGATAATGATCTTATCATGAGAGAATTTACAGGATTTTTTACAATTTCGTATAATAATGGAGCAAAAATTACAACTCCTTTTTATAAAAATCAAGAATTATTTGTAATTGAAAATTTCCGTAAAGAAACAAAAGTTTATTATTTAAACGAATAGATTAGTTTATTATTTATATATTTCTTATATTTAAATAAACATCTATAAATAAAAAATTATCTTTAAAATGTATCCATATCATTATAAATCTAAAAAATATTATTATAAACCACCCAGATTTAATTATAATCAAGATAATTATTATAATGATTATTATGTTACAAACTCTAATCATACAATAAAATTAAAACATGAGGAAGATGATACCATCTCTACCACATCATCAAATCCTAAAAAATACTCGTTTCATTATTTCATCGAAAAGAAATACATAACTTTTATGTTTACTGAAAATCAAAATTTTACAAAATTGGAAACGTACGATACAAAAAATCCTGTCTCAATTAGTGAATTAAATTCGTTAGGATTTACCATTTTAATCAAAACCAAAGATAGTCAATTTTTAGATCTATCTGAAGATAATTCATGTATCGAAATATATTCGACTAGTTTAGATTCGTTAAAAATTTTACATCATAATAATATCATTTATGAACTTTGAATTATTTATTTATTATTTATTATTTATTAATCAAATTATTATAAATAAAAGATACCAAAATTTACATATTTCGATATTAAATTTACGAAAATAAAACATGTCTAACACAACTCAGAATATGATTGACAGATGTGGTTATCTAAACATAACTCTTAACGATTTTATAAGCAAAACAAATGAAAAATATAGATATATTGACAAAAAAAAAATTAATAAAACATTACATGAATTATCCGAAGAACAAAAATCAAAAAATCAAAAAGAATATGATGAACGTAAAGAAGAAAAATATCTACAAAATTCTGTCATGAATTCATTTACAAATACTAAGAGTGTTTTCTCACCAGATATTGTCACGTATGATTTATGTAATAATAACCATAACCATAAAAATGATAAGCATATTCTTTGCTTAATAGACGATGTATTTTTGTATAAACAGCTTGTCTGTAGTAACTCTATTATCAATAAAAAAGAAAAAGAAAATTTAATTTATTATTTGTAATTTTATTAATAAATATATGAATATTTAAACCCATCAATATGTAACTTTCAAATTACCAAAATAAAATGAATTCGTTATCTTTTGAAATTCTTTCAATAATCTTTTCATTTTTGATTTATATCAATTATGAAAATTTTTTAGACTATGTTTTGGTTTCAAAATTATTTGCCATAGCTTCTCTTCCTTATTTATGGGAAGATCCTTTTTATTCATGTGTCGGAAGAAACTATACAAGCTTACAAAAAATAATTTATTATTATTTATCTGATAAAAAAAGTATTTTATTTCAAATTTATTCTTCTCACTTTGATGATAATATGGAAAAACCTCTTTTCGATTACATATCCTACATTAGACAAATTCGTGTTGATAATATTTTTAGTATCGTTACTCATGGAATTGATTATGAATTCAATCTTCATAGAGATTGGAAAACCCAAGTCACGAAAACCGTTCTAGAATTAGTATTTGATTATTCGAAAAAAATCACTTATTTTCAACTTTCAAACAAATATAAATCCGACATCACCAATCTTATAGTTAAATACACCAATCTTATTAATTATAATTCAAAACATATTCAGTATATTTATCTAGACACCACCCGTCCTAGTGATTTATTTAAATTCAATAACATGTATGGGATCGCCCTTGGATATGGGAAATGAGATCACTCTTCATTTTGTATCTCTACCAATCTCCAAATTTTTAAAAGAATTAATTTAGAAAATATTACAAATATCAGGTTCAGAAATGTTAAATTTACCGAAAAGGAAAAGAAAATATTGGATTATTTTAGATCATTGAAAAAATTAAAATGTCTTAGCTTTATTAATACAAATGTTGACACTGTTAAAAATATTTATAAAAAGTTTAAAGATTCAAAAACTTTAGTGTATTTGAAAGTTATCTCGTGTAATCTTAGATATTTCATTTTTACAGAAAATTTTCTCTATGAAATTTTTAATAATGAGAATATCAAAAATATCATTATCAGATTTGATTGGAAAGAAGAAAATTTCTTAATCAACAAAAAGAATTCTATTAAAAAATACAAATGTTGGGTAACAAATCATTAATAATATAGATCTTCACATCTTTCATAGTAACAATTCATGTCGAAATCGTTATTAGTATAATTTATGATTAGTGATTTGCAGTTTAATTCGTTTTTCAAATGTAATATTTTATTAATTATCTTTTTGATTAATAAAACTTTATTTTCATTGTTATTATGTTTATTATTAGCATGAGATAATACAAGAAAAAATAAAACAATGATTAATTTTATAAACTTCATTTTTTAAATTTTATAAACGAGATTCTCAAGTCATTTAAATATTTATTTTATTAAATTAATACATAATTAATTAGAAATTACAATTTTTATTATTAATAAAGTTTGATATATTATTAACTACATTTAAAATGTATTGCCCAGAGTCAACCCCATGGTGGTTACATATCATATGACTCCTAAAACAATATAACAAAGAGCTTTCATCTATTTCAAGAGAGGGATATAGCGGCCCCTAGACCATAATGTTATAAATCTTGACTACTTTGCTCAATATTTAAATTTGACCAATGTCTTTACTCAAGTATATGAAGTAAAACCACAAATATAAAATTCTTCAAATTCAAATATACAAGGCATAAGGGGAAGCTCAAACTAGCTTAGTTTAAACCTTATGCTATTCACTATATAAAACAGCTACACTTCTTTGAATTTGGATATCTTACGAGTTTAACACGGCCTAAATCAATAAAATTAATTATCGATATTAGGTTTTCTTCATGGTTTTATATACTTCAAATGTCTGTCATTATAAAAACAAAAGGTGAATAATTGAAATAGCAATTTTATTGTCTTTATATACTTTCCAATTTTTAATTAATATTGAAATCAATTAAATATTGTGTAATTTATATATTCATTTATAGAAATACCAATTTTAGATATGTGTAAATTTATTTAAAAACTAATAAATGATTTACAACATACATGTAAAATTAAATGTTTTAACAAAGAATTTTCTTTGTAATTAGATAAATATAAATTATGCCAAATTATATTTGTATTACAAATCAAAATATCAAGCTTCTAAATTCCAAAATTCGAAAATTCTTATAAATTTGACCAAAAAAAGATTGAGAATTTCGTTATCAATCTTTTATTTTAATAACTAATCAAATTAACGATAATGTTGTTGATACAACAGAATTCGATTTTCTATACAGTTTACAGTTAACCAAAAATAAATTCGTAATCGATAAATTCTTCATCGAAAATTAACAAACTCTTTTCCATTTCTTGAGAAACTTCTTTCTTAATCGAAAAAATATTTAAAATGGTGATTTCTTCATCATTCGGAAAAATACATTTAAATTTTTTTAAATTCGTTGTTGCAATAACATAATTGCATTTGAATCCGATCCAAATTTCACGAATCTTTAATTTTATCATCATTAAAGTTACAGAATAAAATCTGAAATTTCATTTTTTTTTATAAAAAATCAAATTAA